TTGTTTTTGATTGATAGATTGATTGGTGTTTAACGCCACTTTTAGCAATATTGTGCTATTTCCTGGCGGACAGTTTTTATTATCGGAGGATGCCGTAATGCCCGGAGAGAACCACATACCTTCGGTAGGAACAATGACAATCCTTGTCAATTAAGATAGGAGTCGAGCGCACTTGCCAAGTCTTGATAAGACCACTCGGCCACCGAGATCCCAGTTTAATTTTGAAAATTAACTATTTTAAAATGGTTCTTTATAACTACGCTTTGATATATTTCCTATAACTTTTAATGTAATATAAATTAATCACTCATAAATACGACTAAGCCTTTAAGGTTGTTTACATCATTAACTTTTTATGTTATAGACTAGCTGTCTGCAATCCTTGGACATGGTGTCTTTTGATTTGACTGATCATTATTCAGGCTATGTGAATTTTTGTAAATTCGTCCTATTTCAATTGTTGGTTTCATTAATAGTATAGTTCTAATGTGTAGAAGTTTTAGCTTGAGTTTGCCTAGGAATAAATATGTTTCCATTTGTACTTCTGCTCCGTAAAATAACGCATTACATTTATCGAATAGTCAACAGTACATATTATTTGAAAGGTAAAATCGTTAAGAGACAAATAAAACAAAACAAACAGATATAAACGAACAACAAACACAGAAAGCTACAGCTTTTACAAGATAAATGAGCATTACACTAATTAAACTCATCATAGATACCAGGCGTAAAAGTTTGTAAGTCAGACGTGAGTTTCGTTTATAAAAGACTTACTTGTTGTCTGCTCTATGGTCGGGTTGTTGTCTCTTTGACACATTCCCCATTTCCCGATTCTCAATTTTACCAGTGACGATCGAATCAAAAAAATTAAAAAGGTCAAATAAATGAAGTGCATTTTTGACCCAAAATCCCGAAAAATTTTGCCAAATACAACCAAGGTAATTTTTATCATGATAGAATCCTTAGTATTTGATTTATAATTATGGAACTAGATTGACACAACTAAGTGATAGCAGGTGCTCTTAAAGAGTTAGCAGATAATCCACAGATAGATCATGCTTGTCACCTACTCGTAACACTCCTTAGTATATTATATTATGATTGACATCCACAGTTAACACCCTTCATAATGAATTTGTTATGAGTTAAAGCAAAAATGAAAAAAAATATATGCAGTATTGAGAGAGAAAAATCTATAGCACATAACAATCTTCATTGGTGAATGTGCCTGTCATTTGTTTTGTTCTGTTATTATTTCAACTCACCAAATACGGGGTAATTAACTTAAATTTATCATCATTGGAACCATATACTATCCTGTTTTTGTTAATTTGTTAATGTGAATAATGTTAAGTAAAGGTCAATGGGACAGGCATTGAACAACACACAAAACCAAGCAAATAGTTTGTCATTTGGTCTCTTGTGGAGATTTGTATCATTGGCAATCATACCACATCTTATTTTCAAAAATACATCTACATGGTCAACATACGTTTTTAAATAATCGACAATATGTTTACCCTTTATCGCCCCGCGTCTAACATTAATGTTTTATCTCCAATAATGGCATCAGCCACCCGAAGACTGATTTTGAACTGTCCGTTTTTAACATGTTTTCCAATTAATTATGAGTTTTGAAACAATGCGTCCAACTCCATCACACAAACGGGGTTTTCTTTTTCTTTAAGTTTTTTTTGTTTATAGCGGGGAATCATAAGTATACAATAATAACATTGGTTTTCAAACTTTTGTTTTGGGAATACTAATTTCATTTATGCATCTCGAATGCAGCAATCATTCATTTCTTTTACTTTTATTCAATATCCCGTTTCATAAGGGAATGGCATTGTCAAACATTCATTTAAAAAAGGTAGTTAGTCATTATTTTTTATTACTCACTCCGATTCGATCTTATTTCAATTGTCAAGTCGTCCTACATGTATCATGATAATACATACCGTTGTCTAAATGAGTGTCGGTTTTTTTTTCATATATCAAAAACACTTTGGAGTCTTCAGTCTTCACTTCAGTCCTTTGACTAGCTAAGTAAGATTTGCAAATTGGAGATACCTAGCATTTAACACCACTTTCAGCACTATAGACTATATAAGTTTGGAGGAAGCCGGAGTGCCCGTAGAGAGCCACCAACCTTCAGCAGGAAAACTGGCAATGCTTGTCAATTAACTTCGGAGTCAAACTCACCTGTCACATGCGGGTTTTTACTTTTTTGATTAGAGCGTCACTGACGAGTCTCATGTATTCGAAACGCGCGTCAGGCATACAAAGTTTAATCCTTGACAGGCAAGTGATACTTTAGATGATTTCAGCTTCCCAATTGTGAACTTTTCATTTCTATGTAGCAACATTCCAGCAGCGCCTGCAAACGGAGTATATATCTCCCTATTGATACGATATTCCCGGGCTTGTATTTCCTATCATGATTTCCTTGATAGAGGATTGCTGCTCACAAGGAAGCTATTAAACAAAGAGTTCCAAATATTGAAGTTGAAATCATCCCTTCGTAAATTTTACGGACGCCATCACGAGTTGGTTGACCGTTATGGAATAACCGTTTCACAGATGATATCGGATACCCCGGTATGTTCCTTATGTCGTAACTACAATACCCTTCCCTTTTCACGAATGTGACCTACCGAATAAGACTATTTACCGGATTTGTAATAACATAAGCAACACGACGGGTGCCACATGTGGAGCAGGATCTGCTTACCCTTCCGGAGCACCTGAGATCACCCCCAGGTTTTGGTGGGCTTCGTGTTGCCTAGTCTTTAGTTTTCTATGTTGTGTCATCTGTACTATTATTTGTCTGTTTGTCTTTTTATTTTTAGCCATGGCGTTGTCAGTTTGTTTTAGATCTATGAGTTTGACTGTCCCTCTGGTATCTTTCGTCCCTCTTTTAGATGAACTATGACCACTCGGCCACTGAGTTTTTCATGACAGAATATATGTACCAAATCATGATCAGTCCTGTCCAGTTTATCCGGAATTCTCTATTATGAATCACTCTAGAAGTTTATTTTTGAAATATCATACTATTTTCTTTGTTTCCTGGCTTTGGTGCTTTTAAATAGATATGTATGGACTCGTTTGACGGGCGATGCAAGCATAGCAGGGATTATATACATTCTCTATCAACGCACCTGCTGTCACTTCTTTAAGAGTTCCCGCAATGCCGATTGTTTACATTTTCCTGTTCGGCTGATTATACCTGGACTTATTCTGTGTTATCTGTATACTACCTTTGTATAATACGTTTTCGTAAATAAACTAGAATATCGGCATTTTTTTGTTTTGATACTGACTTTATCAGCAAGATAATCAAGCGAGCACGCAAGGGTAGGAAAAAGTCAACTTCCAATTCATGCAAATATCATAGTTATACCTTTTATCCTACAAATGTCAATTTAAAAAAAAAACATTATCATTGTTACCATTAAAGGACATATTCACCAAACATAAATCAAATGACTAAGAAACTAAGGTTCCAATTCCCTCAGGCAAAGTTGAACTTCGTTGAATTTGGCTTTTCCTTTTGGTCATGTAGCTCTTAACATATTTACGTTTCAGATGTTTGGGTATGGGCGTTCCTGATGAAAGTAATCTAGAAATAAGCTTCGGACGCACGAAATATGTAGTGTTATTTTCACATCCTAGTACTATTATAATACATTTCAGATATGGGTAGAGCCAGGTGCATCGATTTTTAATGTTCCAAGCAAAACAAATATCAGCACCAATTTATAGTCATAAATATTGTTGTTTTTTTTATCTAATTAAAACGACAAAGAAAAGATTTCACATGATCAAATGCAAAACGTCCAGTTTCAGACAATATTCTCATGTTACCACTAAAACAATAGAATTATAGCTTTGTTTGACGAGATGAAACTTTTTCTTTCAATCTGACATTAAAGACGAGAATGAAAATGTAAAGAGTCAATATACAAAATATTTAAAAAAAGATCGTCAGAATTATAGTTAGAAATCGATCTGTTTTTTCGGTAAATTCTTAAGAGACTTTTGGTTAGAGGTTGAATTCCATATATCATAACCTTTCTTAATGTCTACTGTTTATAGATCACCAGATTGTCCCTGTCCTGGATAGATCATTTTGAGTAGGAATAAAAAAAAAAGCTCTTCCAAAAACAAAGAGAATGTTTCATTATAGATTTGATAAAAAGTAAAAATGAATAATGGAATTTGCTTTGGAATTGCTATTGACTTTCATATCTTTGAAATATTATCCAAGACATTAAAAAATCTAATGATATAACAATTTTTGGATTAGAATATGAAATGATTCATTATTGGAGCAATTAAACCTATGAAGGATTTTTTATATGTATGTTATATTTGGCTGTTTGAGGGCCTCAATGAAATTAGACAAGTTCTAATTGGGTAACTCTCTTGAAATCAAGATTATATTATTATTATTATTATTTTTATGTTCATTATCATTATTATTATCATTTTTATTTATGGGGACGAACACTCCGCACAACGTCTGAAAGACATGTGTTTGGGATTTCTAAGTGTCCAGTGATTTACAACCCTTTAATTAATACAGAATATAATCAAAAATATAAAAAAAATTATTACAATACCTGCACTAAGTAACTTTCAGTGCTATGGGCACAAAGCAAATGCTCAAATTGAACCTACTATTAATGTATGTTTATTAAAGTAAAGCGTTTTTTTTTCTAGAAATCTATGTATTATACTGACAAAAACAATTACACTATTTCAAGGTTTCTTTCGGTTTTTTTATTACTTTGTTTTTATTTTTGTCCTGACATGTATTCATGCACTAAAACAAACTCGATCATGAAGACCTTTCAGCAAATATTTAGATGTAAAACAGCAGTAACAGTGGTATTCATTTCATGCTGTCTAATGTACAACCACCTGATTAATGCATGATTCTATCTACTTCATAAAAGAGACTATGTACAATACAAAGAAACATTTGATACATATAACATTCGAAAATTGTTTAATAAAATGTGTTTATATGTTTAATATTATATATACATAAATGAATAACAATGCTTCGTATCTACATATCATGACATCTCCTTATTTTCTACATAGTCTAGTGGAAGACATATATAAACAGTGTGCTTAAATCTCAACGTTATTGCGGAAGTCTTTGACACAATAAAGAGTTCATGTTTTCGTCTTTATGGCTTCAAAGAGACAAGTTTCATCAACAGGTTAACTTTCAATGCAAACATAGGACGGATTGGTATGTTGAATGTCCCTGAAATGCAACAAATCTTATTAACATTTAAAACGAAAGTACAGAAATGAACTATAAATTATAGTTTTTAGGAATTTTGGGTCCTCAATGCTCTTCAACTTCGTGCTTTATTTGGCCTTATTAACTTATTTAGATAAGAGCGTCACTTATGAGTCTTTTGTAGACGAAACGCGTGAATGGCGTACAAAATTTCAATCCTCAATCCTGGTATCTACGATGAGTTTATATACCATTTGAAATACTAGTATCTTTGATGATTTGTCAAGGTTTCATAATAGCAGATGCTGCGGAAAGGTAACCAGTATCTGCTTTATGTGCAATACCCGTCGTATTGCCCAGGCCGGACGCAGCAAACAGTCCGAATTTCTAAAATTGTTGAATAACGGAAATGATATAGTCATGAATTTTATTAAATCTACGATCATTCACTACACATTCTCAATGTCAACCGTAAAGCTGTAGCAGTTAGTGGTGATAACATTGGTTTTGACTGATTATAATTCTAACTGGACTGTTTATTTGTATGAAACAAGATACTGTCCAGTATTTTTAGTGGTTCATATATTCATTTCTATTTAATTTTAAGCTCATGATAATTGAACCATATGTGATATGTATAAGCTATAGGTAGGTGTTGTATTAAATATATTGTTACTTAGAAAATCAAGTTATGTTAACGAAAATAAACGTTAGGGTACATATCGTATCAAGTATACATTTTAGAACTAAGCTACAGTTTGTTAAAAATTATGATATTTTGAAAGGATTAATGAACGCTCATTATACTTGAAACAAATCTAGATGATATAATTGGGTAATGGATTTTACAATAAACATCCGTACACGTTTTTGCTATATTTTTCACGCAAGATAAATCTACAGAACATTCTATTAAAATCTAGATGCCATAAAGAGCATGTGTAATTCACTTAGATCTATGTGCATATTCAACAATGGCCACTCTCAATAAAGATAAGAATATAATTCATAACCAAATTATTTTTGTTGTTGATCTTGTATTGCTGATCATTATTGCTGTTTACAGTTTCTCTCTATCTAACATAATTTTTTATTTCCGAAATGCAAAACAAATGGATAAACTTTATCATTCAAGTGCATTACCTCTTTAATAACTCGTCGAAAGGTTTGGTCGAATTGGCATTTTTACAGATCTTGTATTGCTGATAATTTTTCATGTTTATAGTTGCTACTTATCTATCAAAGTTATAAAAATCAGTAAAATTAAAGGCTAGTTATTTAATGTCAATAACTGCTACAAGAAGTCACCCAAAGGTTTCATTGGTATGGTATGGTATTTTTTCATATATCTTATTTTGCTGATAATTTTTTGCTGTTTACAGTTTCTACCTATCTATTTAGTTTCTAGATAATTGGCACCAGCATTAGTTTAAAACCGTAATTTAAGGACAATAACTCCTAAATGGGTCACCCAATGGTGGGGTCACGTTGGCAGTTTGCAGATCTGGTATTGTGATCATCTTTGCTATTTATAGTTTCTAGTAATCAATCAAAGTTGTCGAGATATTTGGCAAAATTATAAAAATTAGTCTAAAATTCAAAGTCTAGTCATTTAATGTCAATAACTGCTATAAGAAGTCAACCAAATTTTTCAGTTGTTAGCATTTTTTGTAGATCTTGTGTTGCTGATAATTTTTGATGTTTGCACTTTATACCTACCTATTAAAGTTTCTAGATAACTGGCAAAAGCAAAAATAATATAGTCTAAAACCATAATTTCAAGACAATAACTCCTCAATGAGTCATCTAATCGTTTTAGTCATATTGCCACTTTTATAGCTCTTGTACGGCTGAGCATGTTTGCTGTTTACAGTTTTTGCCTGTGTATTTCAAGAACATGAAAATTAGCACAAAAAATGTCATTTATGGACAATAACTAATTAAGAAGTCATCCAATGGTTTCGGTCATTTTGGCATTTTTGTAGTTCCAATATTGCTGAACATAATTGCTGTTTACAGTTTGCCTATCTATTATATTTTTCGAGAAAATAGGCAAAACTATGAAAATTAGAAAATAGAAAAAAAAATCGTCATTTAAGGACAAATACTCCTTAAGGAATAATCAAATGGTTCGATCATTTGGCTTTTATGTAGATCTTGTATTGCTGATAATTCTTGCCATTTGACATTAACAGTTATGACCTCTGATTTATAATTTTCAGGATAACTGAAAAAACAAAGCAACTACAAGTTGTTTGAATTAGTGTGGTTTCTGACTTATTTATTTCTACAACTTATAAAATGTTTATTTTAGTTTTTAAGAATCCACATTCGATTAAGAGTAGTAAGAGAAGTATCACGACTTCAGAATTTCATTTCTGAATGCTTTTCATATGAATGCCAGGATTTTGAAAGTGCTTCAGTGAAAAGACCTAACGATTTTTAATATCAAATGAATCTGAACAAATTGGAATTGATCGTTGTTGTATTTGACAAACAAAGTCAATACAGCTTAAGCTTGGGTGTTCCACCATCGGCAATGAACTGGTCAAGAGAAATATTGCTACACGTTCAAACATTTGTTAATTTCAATAACTTTGATTGTATCCTAACTCTGTTTTGTTCAGTTGTGGTAAAATGTAACAGTTCAGTTTGAGATAAATCGAGAGAGAGAGAGAGAGAGAGAGAGAGAGAGAGAGATTTGTACTTACAGTACTTACATGACAACGTTTGCCGTGTGTGACTCCTCTTCTGAAATACTCTCAATACGCTTACGTTTCTTCAGATTTTTCGATGTTGCATAATACTTTAGGAAACTAAGCATTGACCTCCTTCCTTGCTATAAAAAAAGTTAGCATCATAAGTATTATACTAGCTTACAAGGTCCTTAAGGTACAGATAAACAATGAAAAAACGTTGGTCAGCATAAAAAATTCTGTTCTTTCAAAGTGACCTTTCTGTTTTAAATTGTACTCTAATAATAAACTCGTCAAAGATTAACATTGAGTTCGAATAACCACCAAACATCTTGAATAGTTAGGGATAACGCAATAAAATAAATCATACAATAAAATATACAAGATGTAGATTCAAATTATCAACATCAAAGAAATGAAAAAAAACATACTTTTAGATAACAAGGATTAAGCCAAATTGCTGATTGATATTCGAGATGTTTTGAAAATAAGCATTTGGAAAATTATGAATTGAAACCCATGAAGTAAGAATTCAAATACTTAAACAAATCTTACTTTGTTAATCGACGATTAAATTTTCTTTAAAAAATGGTAAAAAGAAAAAAATAATCATCGAAAATTATACCTTTTGAAAAAAAATAACACACACAAACTCGAACACACACGCTGATCGAACTTACATCTATACATTTCTAACTCAGCTATTTCTATAATTAGTCAAAATTTAAGGCTATTACTTAACACTATACGAAAACCGTTTTTTACAACATATTAAAGGCGAAAATCCTACGCATCCATTCTTGCCCAGAGGTATATAATATTTTAATTAGTTTCTGCTGACAAAACAATTAGTTGACTACAAAATCTATTGTAAGAACTACATGCAGGTATTTAGTTAATATTTTAAATGAAATCTTAAAGGCATACTAAATCTTATCCAGATAGGTTACGCCGATGTAAGTTACAAAGTGTAGGAGACTTCAAGGTGTAAATTCAAACCCGAGTGACGGCAGATAAAACACTAATTTCATTCGTAAACACAAAACAGTCAACAGGCCATTGCCAATTAAAACCAAGTTAAAACTTTAGCAAACATTCTTTAACAATCGAATAAAATTAGGTGACGATTTTAAGAAGTGTTGATTCACAACAAAATAAAGGCTGTTTAATAAATAGGTTTACGTCACGGCAATAGATTCAACGTTCATACAACCTTTACTAATTGTCGTATGATTATTATGTTATTCGGGATCTTCGCAGGGAATATATGGCTCATATTCCACTGCGAGTGTTGTATACACCCTTCAGCCGGTCAGGGCCGAGTAATAAGTATCTAATACAGGAGTATTCGAATTTCAACATTACTTAACATTTGGTCTTCGTTTTTGTTCACAGGGTATATGGGCTCATATTCCCGGTCAACATAACCAATCAAATAGCAATTGGCCGAAGTATAATATTGAATTATAACTCCAAGTTTTTTGGTGGGGTTTGTGTTGCTCAGTCTTTCTGTGTAGTATTTTGTAGACTGTTGTTTGTCTTTTCGTCGTTTTTAACATGATATTGTCGAGTTTGTCTTAGACTGATGAGTTTTGTTTGCCCCTTGGTATCTTCCCACTCTCTTTTGTAAAGTAAATAATTATCATTAAAACAATGTTTTCGATTTTACCCTACAATATATCATTCTTATTGTATTAACAGCCGTATTAAACCAACAAGAAATGTTTTTTGGTATTCAGATACAACAAATGTGTGGACTTTACATACTTCAATAGCATAAGCTCTGTCTTCTGGTTCCAATTGAAAATCCATCGTTCCAACGTGACCTGTATTTATTCCCACAGTTCTGTCAAGGTCTTTCGCCTAATAATTAAAACAATTAAACGCAAAACAATAAAAAAAACGAAGTTTTTAAATCATTTGATAATGACAAATACATCACTATCTGTGCCGTATTGTTATTATTTTATGATTTGTAGAAATAATTATATTGTGAGGCAATATAGTTGATACCTTGATAGCATGCGGATGCTTCTAGAGTATGTTGTAGTGGCTATCGGGGTTTTAAGCAGCAAACTTGCTCTACGCGCTCATTTCAGACTACCCATGGTATTTAATTATTGTTTACTGTATCTAATGTAGTAATGATGATTTTATCTTTGATGAGTTTTTAGAAGTGAGCACTTTGTGTTGCTATGAAATGTCATAGATATGGTAATTTTCTGCAAAAAATTTAATGAGGCCAAGTGATCTAAGTAGTACATCGCTAGCGGGTCAACACTGAGGTTGTGAATTCGAATTCCGTAAACTTGACAGGTGTGTCTGACTACTATCTTAATTGACTAGAATTGTCAGTTTTCTTGTCGAAGGAAGGCCAGCGGGTCTCTCTGGAGACTCCAGGTTCCTCTAACCTTAAATAAAACTTGGCTGGGTTTATGCCACTGCTGGTTGACGTTTCGTCCCCAATGGTATTACCAACCCGGTAGTCTGCACTTTGTGTTGAAATAAATTTATATTGTTATTTTTTTTTTTAAGTTTTGTTTATTAAATTTTGAATCATTCAAAACAATTAGTTTTTTGTTTTCTACCCACAGGCATAGATGGCCTTATTCGTTTTTAGGCACAACTTTTCTGAATGTTTGGCTTGCAAAGCTCTTCATCTTCGTGTTTGAATTAATCTTCCAACGGTTTTTTTATTCGAGCACCACTGATGAGTCTTACATAGATTGTAATCAATCATAAGCCTGGTTTCTTTGAAGAGTTTTTTTCTTACCATATATGGAAATCTGAGATAATGAGCAAAGGATACGATGGAAGTAATCGCCTCACAACTGTTAAAGTAAGGAGATTACCAATGAGACAACTTTCCAACTTACGTGGACTTAAGGAATAATAATATATAACCGTAGGGCCTTCAACAATGAGCAAAACAAATACCAAATAACCAGCTATAAAAGTCCCCGACATGCCAAAAAGTGAAACAATTCAAACGAAAAAACAAAAAGCCTACTTTATGACAAAACAATAAACGTAAAACAGATTTAAGACAGCAACCAACGACAACCACTGAATTACAGGCTCCTGACTTGAAACAGGCACATGAAAAATGTGGCGGCGTTGAACCATTTTGTTTTTGTTCCACCCTACCATAAGCTGTTACAATGGTGTAACAGCACAACATAAGAACAAACTGTAAAAGTCAGTTGAAACTATGTTTATGCAAACTATTCAGTCGAATATTTTTTACCTAAAATTAAAAATCATTTATAATATTTGAACATCGGTTAACTACAGTTGTCTATATATATTTACAACATAAGATGAAAATTCTCTTTCTTTCTGTCTACCATACATATATAACCATTAAACTTTACATACAATATGCAAAGTACATAGCTACAGGAAAATGATACCTTAAATTTGAAAAAAAATGCGAAATGGATAAAATATGTGAATTTATATTTCCTTTTTTTAACTAAGTTCATGCATGAAATTATATATTTGATTATTTTATGTCTGCAATATCGCTATTTTGAATAATGTTTACATATCTATATATGTTTGTGAGGTTTTTGCCGGATGCAAGTGAAAAATGATTGGAAACGAAACTTTTTGAAAAAGTACATCTACTTTGCTACAATTTTAATTGAACCAATTTCATTAAACTATTATTTGTTTCGTTCGATGTACTCTTACAAAAACTTTTCCTTTTTACAAACAATGTAGTATAGAAGGCATCAGTATATAGTGATTCCAATTTATCTTACACAATATTGTTCCTTTTGGGGTTCATGCGATTACCTCACAATATCGCTCCTTTTAGGGCTCGTACGATTCCCTCACAATATCGTTCCTTTTGGGGTTCATGCTATTACCTCACAATATCGCTCCTTTTAGGGTTCATTCTATTACCTCACAATATCGCTCCTTTTGGGGTTCATGCGACTCCCTCAGTTTTTGTTAGTTACCTTGATTTGTCTTCTGAATCGATTTATGAGATTTGAACATCGGTAAACTACTGTTGCCTTATCTATCAACTTACCTCAACAAATACTCTTTTGACATTAAGAAGAAGAGCATCCTGAAGTACATTAAAAAAAGAAAAAAATCCAGTAATTTCCTGCCGCTGATATCCCAGAAACCTTTGTTGTAGGCAAATACCAGAACTTTCGATGAACTCTTTTAATTCGCAAAATTCTATCTGCAAAATACAAACCACTTTTTATAGTACAAAAGACTTATTTTCATGGCGGACACAAGCAATATAGTATAAAAAGTTAAAATGCTTATTTGTTTAGCAATGTCTAGATAAGTACTAAGCACTTGTCCGCATTTGGCTATATTTTAGGTGCTTTTTGGTTTGATAAGCTCTTTAATGTTTGTATAAGTTTTGATTTTTCAAATACTTTGGCCATGGGTATCTATGAAGATACATTTATTGTCAAAATGCGCATCTGGTGCAGTAAAAAAATTGGTACCGTTAATGGTATTAGCTTTATATGTTAACATTTTACAAATGAATATCCTCCTGATATATATTACAATATAATTTGATTCAACAAATTACTTTTCACTAGAGGAAATTGTTTTAATTTGTTGTTTGCACGGCTTCTTTTTCAAATAATTGATTCTTCTTTCATGATCTTTCTACTTCGTCACATTTTTAAAACTGCGCTTCATCTGCTTTTGATAGTTTTTTATGGTGATAAAGATGCCAGATAATATTGTGTCTTTAATGGGAAAAGGACGAAAAGGTGTATTGTATTAAATCACATCCTGAAAAATATATATTGGAATTGACAACCCCAAAGCAAAGGAACAACACTTTTATTGTTGTTATGTGAAAGTCACAGAGAAGCATTCAACACGGAGCAAAAGGTAACACCTCACTTCAAACTCAAGACGGTCCTAGCAACTGTTTGAGCGAAACACTACGCAAGATGTCAATTAAGCTAAATCGTTGCATAGAAGATCACAGATACGGGTGATATCAAAAACTATAAACAAAGAAATAAATCAAACAAATACTTTTATAATTTGCTCGACAATATTATTGTAAAATACAAAAAATATATACGATACTTGTTAGATAACTTTGCAGGAAATAATGCATGGATAAGGCAAATATTTCGGACAACCTAATTAACAATTTCAAGAGAAAAAGTTTTACAACATAGAAAACTTATCTCTAGAAAAAATACGCAACGGAAAAGGATGAATATGATGTATTAATCTATGTCACAAAATCCATAATTGCACATGACGCAACACAAAATCAAAATAATAGCGATTTTCTTGTTGCTTATCGAGACAAAGTCCGTGTGTATTATCAACACTAAGCAAAAGCTTACATTTAACAGCATGTTCAAGGCGGCCCCTATCACTCGTTTGAGCGGATTTATGTTCATGCCAGATGTCGATCATTCTGCATCTGTGATTGAAGAACTCAGATATCAGGTTATATTGATGAATTTGTTTTTGTTACAATTACTTGCTTTGTGATACGTAGCATTTTGTGAAGCATACGGAGCCCGATCGTTTCCCAAGTAACCAGAAAATATTACCTTATTAAGATAAATAACTAAAATATACATTTAATAAGATTGCTACGCCGTAGCGAAATGTCTAACGCGCTATATAAATGAGGAGTTAAAATGCGTGTTACAATGTGTCATTGTGGTACGATAGTCAAAATATAGTAAAAGTCCCATAACTCCCATGGCTCATACATGGTCATATCAAAATGACGGTATAATATGGTCAGATACACATACATGATAGCAAATAATCCTACCAAGTATGAGAGCTTTCTGTCAAATGGTCTCAAAGGAGTTGCGTTAACAAAGTGTTGTTGTTAAAATATTCCAACAAATGGTCAAAGCCCCATAACTCCCGTAAAAATGGTCAAATCAAAACGGTGGTACTATATGATCAACTATGTATAAGCAATTGTACTAAGTATGAAAGCTTTCTGTCGAATGGCCTTACAGGAACTGCGTTCACAAAATGGTATTGTCACAATACTCCATAAAATTAGTCAAACTCCAATAACTCACATAAAAATGTCGGATCAAACGACGGTATAATATGGTCAATACAAAAATTTAGGAGATGTGGTATGATTGCCAATAAGACAACTATCCACACTTCACATGATGGCAAACACTCCTACCAAGTATGAGAGCTTTTTGTAAAACGGACTCAGAAAAGTTGCGTTCGAAAGTTATCATTGTTACAATACTCAATAAAGTGGTCTAAGTCCCATAAAAAAGGGACGAAAGATACCAGAGGGACAGTCAAACACACAGATCGAAAACAAACTGACAACGCCATGGCCAAAAATAAAAAGACAAACAGACAAATAATAGTACAGATGACACAACATAGAAAACTAAAGACTAAGCAACACGAACCCAACCAAAAACTGAGGGTGATCTCAGGTGCTCCGGAAGGGTACGCAGATCCTGCTCCACATGTGGCACCCGTCGTGTTGCTTATGTTATTACAAATTCGGTAAATAGTCTAATTCGGTAGGTCACATTCGTGAAAAGGGAAGGGTATTGAAGTTACGACATAAGGAACATATCCGATATCATCTGTGAAACGGTTATTCCATAACGGTCAACCAACTCGTGATGGCGTCCGTAAAATTTACGAAGGGATGATTTCAACTTCACCATTTGGAACTCTTGGCTTAATATCTTCCTTGTGAGAAGCAATCCTCTATGAAGGAAATCATGATAGGAAATACAAGCCCGTGAATATCGTATCAACTTGGAGATATATACTCCGTATGCAGGCGCTGCTGGAATGTTGCTACATAGAAATGGAAAGTTCACAATTGGGAAGCTGAAATCATCTCTTGTCGTAAAGTTTTGTTTTCAACCGACCCTCATTGTCAATTTCTAGATGTAAGTCAAGATATGAGGCAGACTTAACTGTATCTGTTGTATCCCTTATCTCTAGTTCGATGGGATAGATGCGTTCAATATAGTCACCAAATTTTGAATTATTTAGTGAGAGAACATCATCTATATAGTGGAAAGTAAAATTAAATGATACTGCTAACATCTTTTCTTTTTTCCTAAGAAGTTCCTGTATGAAGTCAGCCTCATAAGAATAAAGGTACAAGTCGACAAGAAGAGGGGCACAGTTGGTTCCCATGGGAATGCTGATATTTTGTTGAAAAACACGTTCTCCAAACGTAACAAATATGTTGTCAATCAAGAAATCAAGCATCTTGATAATGTCAGTTTCAGAGAATTTTTTGTTTGAATCAGAGTGATTCTTTACAAAGTACGATTTATCCCTCCCCAAGACAAGATACTTGTATCTACGTTCGCCATTCTTTTTAATGAAACAAAGTAATACCAACTCTTTCAATTTGTCTTTTAATTTGGAATGGGGAATACTTGTGTAAAGTGTAGAAAAGTCAAATGTTTTAATACTATTGCAAGATGGGAGAGTCTTAGATTGTATGTTCTCTAAAAGATCTTTGGAATTTTTTAGTATCCACATCTGATTCACGCCACCACTAGAATAGGCAGTTTCACAATAACTTTGAAGCCCGGCTTTGATTGCTGATAAAATTGATGTTAATAATTTAGAAAGAGGTTTCGTGGAGCATTTGGAAGACCCAGCAATATACCGTTGTTTGTAAGGACACTTATGTAGTTTAGGTATCCAATACAGTGATGGAAGATCCAGTTCTTCATCTTTGGTTGAAATTCCAAAGGAACATAGAACAGACCTATGATTATCCAGGATTTCCTCTTTAGTAAGTGTCGTGGGGTATATGTTGGGTTTCCAAGTGAATTGTTAATACCTTATTCATTTATCAAGCAGTTTATGTAATGTGATTTACACACAAAAACGATGTTGTTTGGGGCTTTATCTGCGGGGACAACAACACATTTGTCATGGAGGTAGGACAAGTGTTTTGCAACACTTGGGTCTTTAAAGATTGACGTAGCATGGGTATTGATAGACCCATTCAGTTTCTTAATTCTGATTTGTATCAACGACCTCACAGCCTTAATCCATTCGGAAAGAGTATCTACGTCTTCTTTCTCGCGTTTAACCCTTTGCCTGGCATAATCCTCGACTGAATCCATCAGTATTTTGAAGTTGTGTTTCCAATTGATGGATTTAGGCTCACGATATGGCAGAGTTGGTGATGTATAATGACGATGACCATGACTGCGTCTACGTCGAGGAGTTGAGTTGAAAATATTCATCACATTCACCGAGCTACAGGAAGGACTAGATAGAATACCTATACAATCAATTTTTTCATTGTAACCATATGGTGTCGCAGTTCCCAACTGTCGAATCCAGTAGTCTTCTTTTTGTCTACGGAGAAGCGTTGCAAGATGAGGATTGTTAGTCCTGTGGTATATTTTTTCGATGATGCGAACTTGCGAACTTGCAAACTAACGTTTGTTTAGCCTTCCTTTAGTTTCACAGACGTATACCTATCCGCAAAGTTTACACTTTAATCCGTAGACGACATTTATAGATTTACAATTCAGATCATCGTAACTTCTGGTAAAATAAGACTTTTTTGTTAAATTGCTAGTGAATTGAGCATCTGTTATTAAAACTTCACATGTTTTGCAGTCATTGGAATCACATTTCGAAATGAGACAGTGTTATTCAGAGTCATCAAAATCCAAAATGTATTTTAGAAGAACTGAACATGGCTGTACATGTAGACTATTGCTATTGTGACATGTCACTAGTATGATGATCTGAATGTGTCATGTTTGGAATATTTGTCATGTCTGGTGATGAGGGGACACCTGCCATATCAGACGACACCGTGTCCATGGTGACGTCTGTTTCGGACCTTTTTATACTGGGCGACGTCCGAGCCAGTATTCTGTTTGATCTTCGTAAATTCATGCAATATTGCTACTGGGCGGATGATGTCCTTGGGGACAAAATGTCCACCAGCAGAGACATCGAACCAGTGGTTATAAAAGAGGGACAAAAGATACCAGAGGGACATTCAAACTCATAAATCGAAAATAAACTGACAACGCCATAGCTAAAAAAGAAAAAGACAAACAGACACACAATAGTACACAAAACACAACATAGAAAACTAAAGACTAAGCAACACGAACCCCACCAAAAACTGGGGGTGATCTCAGGTGCTCCGGAAGGGTAAGAAGATCCTGCTCCACATGTAGCACCCGTCGTGTTGCTCATGTTAGTACAAACCCGGTAAATAGTCTAATTCGGTAGGTCACATTCGTGAAAAGGGAACGGGGTTGTAGTTAAGACATTAGGAACATATCCGCTATCATCTATGAAACGGATATTCCATAACGGTCAACCAACGCATACAAATTGTTAAATCAAACTGACGATATATCACGGTCAATTGAATATGACGACAAATAATCCTACCAAGTATGAAAGCTTTATTTCTAACGGTCTCTTAGTATTGCAATGTTTCTGACGGACGGAAACCATTACTATATACCCCGCGGCGTGACGCGAAGGGTCAAAACACACGTTCAATCCAACCTACCTCGCCATTCCCATCCTTATCTATGGCATCAAAGGCCAACTCAGCACTGCAATGTTCCCCAAACAGTAAGTTGGCATGGACTTTAGTTAGCTCATCCTTTAATTAAATAACGGTTACAATTGTTTAAACATATAATAGTCAGCAATTATGAACTATATATATAAGAGTCGAGTCAGCAATTATAAACTTGGAAAGATTACTCTCACACTTAGTATCCCGATCCGGAATCCGCGGAGGGATCCGAATCCCGAGGAGCAATTAATGAAAAGTTTGTAATGGTGGGTAGGTAAAACCGGGATTCGATTCCCACGGAGCATAATTCCTCCGTAGGAATCGGATCCACATTTTACCCACCCACCGTTACAAACTTTTCATTAATTGCTACTCGGGATTCGAATCTCTACTCGGTTTCAGATCGGAATACCTAGTGTGATTCTTATTTGTATGGTTAACTTCTTGTGATATAATAAAATCACAGCATAGCTATTTTTTATGTTCACCAAGATGTAAAAATTACAAACAATTCAAATTCAATCTAGTTCAATATTATTTAATCAGTTTTAAATAAACTAATTCATCAATGCCAAGAAAAACGAAAAATTGAATCATCTTTGAAAAACCTCGTCACTCTACATGTATGCTAAGGCAAACAGAATAGTCTTTCTTCAAAGTGCAGCTTATTCAAAAAACTTCAAACACTACGTAACGTGTTTATATTGTGTTAGCATTAAATGATACTTACATCTTGAAAAGCGTTGATAAATTCTTCTCGATCAATCACCTCATCCCCATCAATATTATGTTTCTTTAAAACCTAGAAATAATCATGCCACCGTAGAGCTATGTAATTTCAGATATAAGCATTTTTTGAATTATTAATATACTAGTATTCAAAGTTAAAAATAGATACACGACAAAAGATTTGATAGTTATTCAGAGCTCGAGGGTATACTCTAAATTCTCCGCAGCAAAGGATAAAACTACAGGTTTTTAACTGGGTGTTTGAATTGTTATAACCGAGAGTAACAGGGTGTACTATTATTTTTCTCTCACGTGCACTTGCCACAGTGACTGTTAATAATGAGGCAATCTGAACCGGGACATTTTCTCGCCGTCATTTTTTTGACAATTTACCAACTGAATCTCATTTCGCGCCGTGTTGAATTCTCGATTTCCGGTGTCTCATATAAATTTTGATAAATGAAATAGAAAATGTGTTGTAAATGAGATGACGAAAATCTACCAGAAAACCTTAATGTCTGAACAGAGTTAACGAAGATTTCTTGGGAAACTTTAAGGTAGAACATCACTTACTAATTTATGTTGGATACATTTAGAGTTAATTCACTCAGATAGGTAAATTTCGTCCGTATAACCAGCCTAATAGACAACAAAAATTACATTGGGATACCTTTGCATTGTAAAGTTGACACGAGGATTAACATCATGATCAAACTATTAAAGAAATACAAAACATAACAGAAGAAAAAACCACAACGTTCAAGGTCTAAAAATTACCGTGTGTTCGATAACATCGCAAACTTCTATAAAAATATACAAAACCAAATTTTACTAAACAAATAATAGATATTGAATAAACTGTCTTTAAATTTTCTTTCTACACATTTAGCAACTTGTGAAAGAGCCTGATAACCATGTGCTTTGTAGTTACAGTTTGAAATTCCAAAATTATAGTTTAACAGGTACAAAATTAAAAAAAAACAGACTATAAGGTGAACATCTCCTTGAAAATATAAAATCAATTAACTTAAGTTCCAATTTTAGTAACTGCTAGCCTATATCTTTTAATTGAAAAGATTTATCATAATAGTAAAAATGAAATGAAACCTATTTCACTGTATATCAATAGTAACTTTTATATGTTACTAATTAGTAAAAAAACAAATTTACCTTCAGAAAAGCATTAACAGCTCTGATTACTCTGTGATATTCGTGCTGAGTTTTTTCCTGACAGTTCTTCTTTTGTGACACTTTCCTGATAATTTGTTTAAATTACCATATTAGATATCGTTAAATGAACAATTTGCTACTCAATGCATACATGTATTAGTTGAAGCAAAGATTGTTGCATGATAACGATCACTTCCACTACTTGTTGAAAGTAATCATGCAACGTTTGATATTTCGAGGATCTGAGATGTACATACACTGTTTGAAAAAAAAGGAGGATGGTTGAATACAAAAGATATAGTTTAATCCCTACACATGTTAATGTGTCTTCCTTTGGTACCAGTTGTCTTTATTTTTGTCATGTTGGTATTTTGTTGGTGTATTTTTTTAATTTAGATTTTGGTATTGATGGTAGATCTCTAATTCATTCCCCACTTATCTATACTTTGAATTATTTAAAGCTTGTCAGATGCCTGTGCTCATTTTCACCTCCAGATCAATTTATCGGCTCATTTTATCTTTTTAATTACGAACAAGTACCCTTGATTTGACAGAAAGCTTCCCTCTAAATGTCTATTTAGGTTTTCATTGTGTTTTGAGATTGCTACCTAGTTGTTGTGTGTATATGGACTTGCATATCTCTGCTTTCTGATTTTATCACTGTTTGGTGAAGTCTTTCATGTGTTTGTTGACTGGTCATTCATTTTCTTTCGTTTTTAAATTCTTATATGTTAATTGACATGTGCCTAACATCCACTGGCGAATATCAGAACATTTCAAATTCATAAGAGAACTTGTTCAAGGTTCACTTGTTGGAGTTTTTACGCCTCTTAAGACAACTTATATTATATGCACGAGTATTTTTTTGGGTAACAGTAACAGTTTATCGTATAAATTTCCGAAACTTGTTCTACATGTTAACGAGAAGACAGCCACGATTTTGCGAGCGTGTGAACAATCCTATATTTTTTATCTATGATAATGTCAACTGATAAAGTACATTTAGTAATAAGTAATATTGAACTATTTTCTTCAAGTTTAATTGCTTTATTCTATTTGTCATGAAATTTTAAAATTTTGAATTTTTAGACCAATTTTCTTTTCATCATGGTACTTTATTATGCGTTGCTGCTCAACTATTTTGGTTTATTTATTTTGATGAGTAGATGTTTTGTGATATTTTGTTGGTTGTAAGGTGTTATCTTGATCTTAATACTAGTAATTAAGCATTACTAGTCAATTCTCCAGTTGAGTTGACATTAAGCATTTACTTGCCTTGCAAGCTTTGTGTCAGGAAACTTGTCGATATGAACACCCAACCTTTTCTCTAATGCATAACGGAAAACGCCAGATTCATAATCAGAAAACTGAAAAAAAGAGAAACATTGTTTCACAACATTATCAATAATAACACCAAATCCAGTATTTTCATTGGTTGAACTCTGGTTCTGAGTACGATAATCGTATTCCAAATTTCAAAGTTATGACTTCAAGACTAATCTCATTTAGTTTGAGTTTTGCAGTGAATTCGATTCAATTTGTGTTTGTGTCCATTTTTTGTCTGTTTTATACCAGAATCCAGGTATATAACCTTTATATATATAACCTTTGTATTCAATTTCGAAACAAAACAAAATCTTAATACATGTACACCAAACAAAACAAAAACAAAAATTTAAACCAATCTATATGCCTCTGTAAAACACTTACGTAGATTTGAATTAAAATATTATACAGAAAAACAATCTAAATGCCTTCTCCAATGGAGGCCAAAATCGACCCTTCTACCATTAACGCTGCCGAAGGGAACACATAAATTGACAAAAGAAACGATATGTCTCTTTCTTTCTACCATTTCGAATATACAAATGCGTACTTGCGAAATTTAGATGTTTTGATGTACAGAATTACGTTATGGTTTTGAATGCCCATATGGAATGCGTTCAACGACGTAATTTTTAATGAAATGCATGCGCGTGAATTATTCTCTGTTGTTTGTCCAATAAACCATTGTGTTGCCAGTGAAACGAGGAGGTATGTTATTTCTCTGTTGTTTGTCCTATAAACCATTGTGTTGCCAGTGAAACGAGGAGGTATGTTATTTCTCTGTTGTTTGTCCTATAAACCATTGTGTTGACAGTGAAACGAGGAGGTATGTTATTTCTCTGTTGTTTGTCTTATAAACCATTGTGTTGACAGTGAAACGAGGAGGTATGTTATTTCTCTGTTGTTTGTCCTATAAACCATTGTGTTGCCAGTGAAACGAGGAGGTATGTTATTTCTCTGTTGTTTGTCCTATAAACCATTGTGTTGCCAGTGAAACGAGGAGGTATGTTATTTCTCTGTTGTTTGTCCTATAAACCATTGTGTTGACAGTGAAACGAGGAGGTATGTTATTTCTCTGTTGTTTGTCCTATAAACCATTGTGTTGCCAGTGAAACGAGGAGGTATGTTATTTCTCTGTTTTTTGTCCTATAAACCATTGTGTTGCCAGTGAAACGAGGAGGTATGTTATTTCTCTGTTGTTTGTCCTATAAACCATTGTGTTGACAGTGAAACGAGGAGGTATGTTATTTCTCTGTTGTTTGTCTTATAAACCATTGTGTTGACAGTGAAACGAGGAGGTATGTTATTTCTCTGTTTTTTGTCCTATAAACCATTGTGTTGCCAGTGAAACGAGGAGGTATGTTATTTCTCTGTTGTTTGTCCTATAAACCATTGTGTTGACAGTGAAACGAGGAGGTATGTTATTTCTCTGTTGTTTGTCTTATAAACCATTGTGTTGACAGTGAAACGAGGAGGTATGTTATTTCTCTGTTGTTTGTCCTATAAACCATTGTGCTGCCAGTGAAACGAAGAGGTATGTTATGAGCCATTATTTGGCCCCTGAATTACCAGAATAGTAAAAAAAAATCAATCCTTTCAAAAATGTCTTGTGAATTTCTGAAGGGTATTATAATAAATGAATTAGAGATAGTGTAATCCTAAAAACAGTTTATGAATCGATTATTATTCCTTTTTGATACAGTATGCATGCCATGACATTAATATATCTGATGCACAAATGTTTATTGATATTTATCAAATAAGAGAAAGGGGAAAACATTATATTTACCACGGTAACACCGAGGGTTTTGTTTGTTTTCGGGTCGTATGCAAAACGACGTTTTCTTTCCAGCAGATGTGGGATCGCTTCCAACGGTTGTAATCTGTCCAGATAACCATCTTCTGGTTTCATCGACAACCACCAACCTTTAAATACAGGTTTTTTAAAGTATAAATTATGATAAAATATCAATTAAATTAGAACTTTCGCCTTCTTAATGACACTATACAGTCCTCGGCAATGGAAAAGCACTCCCATCCTATAGCAGACTTAGAATTATTCAGAGTTCATACAATTTTCTAATGATTTCATCTAAGGCGACGAAATCCCTGACACCAATACAAAATTCTCAATACACACATATAAGAAACAGCGACAACATATACCAGTAACTGGTTTAAACTAGCTTTGTATAGAAACTCAACCCTTTCTCTGTCACTACGATCAGTAAAAGAATAAAAAACAATGTAAAAATACGTATATATACGTAACAAACGAAAATAGACTTAATTCAATTATACAGGTATTCAAGAAAACATTACAAATAAAGCAATACTATGTAAAACGTGTGTGGCATGAATCAATCACGACTCTCTTACTGTCCAATATCAAACATTTTAAAAATAGCTTTCAAACAGCAGCTTCAAAATCATTGGAAGAAAACACGATCAGCGCAAACTTATCATAAAGGGGGAAAAGAAACAAAGAATTTACATAATACTCAATAATTACCAAATTGTATACATACCATCAAAACAATGTAAAGGATAATTACACAAGAGTCCTCCATCAACATAAGTGTTTGTCTCTCCATTAATGGTGTACGTTGTAGCTTTGAACATGCCTTGTGTAAAACATAATTGTAGATTATTATAGATATGTCAGCTCTGTGTAAATAGGTTCCTATCTTATTGTAGTATCATAAATATACAATGCTCTACGTACCAACATTGGTTTTAGAAAACATGCTCCTATAACTACGTAAGTACTTAAAATGAATCAAAATGTTGACCTCTAGAAGTCTGTTTTGGTTCCTTGTGTCATTTGGTTGCTATCTCATTGACATATACCCAATATTCCCTTTAATTCAGACCGAACCATTTTTGCATCATGAAAATTATATAAATCGAGCAAACAGACATCTATCTCTTTCGTTATTAACATATTTTATAGTTTTTTGGGAGTCTTATTTTGGGTTTATTGTTTTCAAAGTTTGATACTTTCGTGTTTCCAAAGTTTGCTTTTGAGCATTACTGATAAGAAATAAATTTCCAAAATGCCCGTAAGTGCATTGATGTAATTTCAATATCTTGTAACTTTGTATTATCATTCTAATTTGCTGCTACTTCTAAGTAATGATTTAAAATGATGTTTGTCCATCTGTTAATATTACAGAAACTTTAAATTATATTACATATCTATTTATTCCTGCATATGTACTAGTATTAGAAGTCAAAATGTGTACGACTGAAATGAATTCCAGCTAAACACATAAATTGTTTTTATAAGGATTATAACTATACATGCAACTTCGATGTCTCTTAAACACCAGATTACCAGCTATTGGTACGGCAGATGCAATAGGTAACACAAATGAACATTTGGTGTATACAATTGCAAAATCCAGTGTATTGAAAATGTAATCGGAAACACCAGCAAACATCTGCTGTACACGATAGCAAAAATAGTACTTTTAATAGCAATCGGGAACAATGATCCAATCGTAGTAGCCACTGCCGTACCGATAGTCGATAATATGGTGTGTCCTAGCTACTTAAGAAAAAATATTCACAGAACTCTAGCTCTATCAAATATTCGAGATAAGCGATCAATAAGTGTTGATATAATTTTGATATTTAGTACCTGGAATGGACATTGACATACGAACGGCAAGTCTGATTGGCATATTTGGTGTAGTTTTAACATGGCAATATTCCTCTGTTAGGTGGTTTAAATTAGTTACAACTATGCATAATTCTTTTCCATATAAATTATATAACTACAAAGAAGAAACATTTCATTTTTACACAGTTTTTAAATAAACGTAATATCTATATGTATGTTACGGTGAGTTCTATGATACGTCATATCTATAGTTATGTCACAGTTACTTCTATGATACATTATATCTATAGTTATGTCTCGGTGAGTTCTTTGATACGTAATATCTATAGATATATCACGGTTACTTCTATGATACGTTATATCTATAGTTATGTCTCGGTGAGTTCTATGATACGTTATATCTATATTCAGGTCACGATGAGTTCTATGATACGTAATATATATAGTTATAATACGGTGAGTTGTATGATACGTTATATCTATATTTATGTCACGGTGAGTTCTATGATGTATAATATCTATTATAGTTATGTCACGGTGAGTTCTATGATACGTTATATCTATATTTATGTCACGATGAGTTCTATGATACGTTATATCTATAGTTATGTCACGGTGAGTTCTATGATACATAATAACTATAGTTATATCACGGTGAGTTCTATGATGTATAATATCTATTATAGTTATGTCACGGTGAGTTCTATGATACGTTATATCTATATTTATGTCACGGTGAGTTCTATAATACGTTATATTTATAGTTATGTCACGATGAGTTCTATGATATGTAATATCTATATTCTTTATATTCCTAACAGTAATATGTGAAACTTAGCTAAGAAACAAATGTATATTTAACTAATATTCCTTTCATTTGTTTCACGAGTCAATGTTAGAAAGTTCGTAAAACCTTCGTAAATTTGTATCGTTAAAACAATTTCAAAACAGATAGCTATAAAATCATTATTGGGGGTTACCTCTTAGTTCACAAGGTCACGTTTAAAAATCACCAGGTCACTTTTAATCAAATAAAACAATTAAGTAAAACGGTTTTTAGCATTTTTAAAGGTCACAGGCCAAATTCCTAAGGTCGAAGGTCGGATTTGACCATGTTGGAATCACTTTATTGGTTTAGCCCAGAACAATGATGTATAAAGGCTGCGACCATGTTTGATAGTCAATTGTCTATGTGTTAAGTAACCGTTAAGTTACATACTGCTTTATCATACGTTTTAATATCATTGAGTGATTGGTGCTTGCTTAACTCAATTTTATTAATGACATCCTATTGAAAATGAACCAATGACTTGATTTATACCGACTAACAAATTTGTTCAATTTGGCAACTGAAGATGAAAGTATTTTGATTATAAATACCCTCCAAACAAAATGAAAATCCCAAATAATAAGCAATTAAACCGTAACAGAAAATCTCTTAGATTACAAGAATGCACATACAATAAATTCTTTGCATGCAATAATACATCATTTCACTTCACATCGTTTTACATAAGTATTTCTAATTTCAAAACTTAAAGATGAATTGATAGAATCCCGTCTTCGTCTCCTCGTTTAACACGTCCAAAGAATGCGACATATCACCAGATATTTACGAGTCACATACAACACAACGGGTACCACTAGTGAAGCAGGACTGCTAACACCTCCGGATCAACTCAATTCATATTTGTTCTTTTTAGTCTGGTTCGTGTTGCTTTCGTATTGTATGTATGTTGTTATATTTATTTTTCAATGTTTGAGTTGTTTCTAGCTGTAGCTTTCTTGCTGATGTTCTGTCCTTTTACTATGTTTCATTACAAACTTTCACATTCGTTCACGTTTAAGGTTTATCATTAGAGAGATATATCATTCGGTTATTGTATGACGACTGACAACCAATCATTACTTTTTTTTTTATGATAAATGACAAGGCATGTGTCACTAATGGAGCAGGAACTGGTTGTTGCTGATGTTCATGTTGCTAAGTCTTTAGTTTTCTCTGTTGTGTTTTGTGGACTGTTGTTGTCTTTGGTCATGGTATTGTCTTTCCTTATGACTTATTACTTATGATTTTGATTGTATCTTGGTATCTTCTACTCTTTGTATGAAAAAAATAGTTTGTTTCATAAAAAAATAGCAAAATTGGATACACCTATCTCTACATCCTTAGTAAACAAAATTTTGTTAAGGTTCGTGTTACTCGATCAATCTTTTGTTTTCTTTGTAATGTTTTGTGAACAAATGCTTATTTTAATTATTTCTCTTGGTAATGGCTTTGTATGCGCCTTTTAGACTTTAATTGCTACTAAGTACAGCTTTTATTCGAAACTATAAATAGTTTTTACTATTATAAGGAGACGGTTACAATTTGTTTTTAACAAATCTACATTCTAAAAGACGTACTACCTCAGCAAAAGTAAGGTCCGGGTTTCCATTTGTTTTACTGGCTAATGCTTCACCAAGGGTTTCCAAAAATCTGTTTCCTGGATTCCAACCGAATTCTGTTAGTAAGTTTGGCAATAAACTGAATATTCCAAAACGAGCATCTTAAATAAGAAAAACGTATCATCGTTTAATGAGATGTTAATCGTCAACAGACAATTACACAAGAAGAACTAAAGTTGTCTAGTAAGTGCAATACCAACAATTCAAAACCCCTATATAATCAACCATTTTTTTTTCATTTTTCACAGCTTTCTGAATATTTTACCTTTTTATGTCACTTCATAGAAACCAGGTATATTTTGAATTGCACATGTATCACCTTTCTATATGCCAATTTTTAACCAATGTTCAAAGTCTTGTAGTGAAACACGACCGTTCGGAAGTCAACTGCTAACAAAAAAAAACTGGTTTTGTGGAAATCTTTAATAAGTATACCGTGGAGAGCAAAATCATGGACAAGTAAATTTTGGCTCAAAATGGTCTACATATATTTCTCTTTCACCAAAAGTTTCATTTCTGCAAATTTGTTTGTCAGTTTAAGTAAACAATGATATCAAAAGCACGATTTTTGTCAAGGAAGAGCTACTTTTTATTGGACTTGGTGAATTGGTGGTCTGACACCTTCATCGTCAACAGAAAATTGCACAAGAAGTACCAAATAAAAATACAATCCGTACAACAAATGCACACTTAAAAGACTTACTAGTAATTGTATTCCAGAATCAATAAAGTAAAAACACTTTCATTATGATTACTATGTTATAATTAATAGCAATCGGGAACAATGATCCAATCGTAGCATGTATAGGTATAATCCTTATAAACACAATGTTTCACAATTCTATATACAAATCTGAGCGTTGTATGAACTTGTAGTACGTTCATTGAGGTATAATAATACTTTTACCGAATAACTCACCAAATCTTGATTTTCATTTTACCGACGTTTGGCATTTGCATTTCAAGTAATGATCTTTGAATTAGAACAATGTATACCTTAAAACTATTCGAGGACCCACTCTTCTTTGTAAAACGATACAATGAATACAAGATGAACTTTGCATCTGACAATCACAACGGCAGACTTTCTAACGAACACTAAAGGTTCTTCGGTTGGAATTGATTAAAAAAAAAGGTAAAACTAAACAGGAACCTACCATTGCATATTGATTAGATAGGCATAACATTTTTTTATATTAATGTCTAACTACAAATATATCAAAATTATTAAAAACACATTTCTATATCTATAAGATTATCTTACCAAAGAAAAGTTTAGCCATATCTTTACTGAGGAAATCTTCCGTTTCTTTAGAATTATATCCAACAGCAATCAAAGCAGCTTTTATTGCACCAGCGCTGGTACCGGCAAACCTTTTAATTTTCGGATAAATACCCAATTCTTCTAATACCTAGAAAAAAAAAGAAAAAAAAACATATTTAACCACTATGATGTTTAATAATGTTTTGGTACCTTCCGAGATATAGAAATTCACTTTCGGTAATATTGGATAGCAGACTTAACAAAATTATTGAAGGACGATAACTTGTACTTAAAGTCACCACTAAGGCGTATAAGTATCAAATTTTACCGGTCTTAATATCCTAAATATTTTGCATCAAATTTTCTTCTGTTTTTCAATATAGATTACAAGCAACGGTCAAATTAAAACCGTTATGTTGACCTTTCATCTTGACCTCAATTTGAAGGTCATAGACTATGGATTTCATTTCAAAGAAGTTAAGTTTACACAAAATATAGTTTAAGAGTTATACATGTATAGGACTTATTTAAATATCTATGGGGAGAAAACTCATGTAAAAAAATCTCCAATGATTTGCAGATCCATACAAGTAAAACTGTGAGCTACTGCTCAATGATGATACCCCCGCCGTAATATTTCGGTAAACAGGAAGTTGTTGAGTGATGAATCTGAAAACGCATCACACAGTAAAGCTGACTTATATAAACCCTGAAACCAAATTTCAGAAATCCTTGTCAAGTACTTCTTGAGAAAAATGTGACGAAAATTTTCAACTTGGCTATCATGTGTAAAATAATACAAGTGTTCGGTAAACAGGAAGTTGTTAAGTGATGAATCTGAAAACGCATCACACGGTGTAACTTACTTATATAAACCCTGAAACCAAATTTCAGAAATCCTTGTCCAGTAGTTCCTGACAAAAATGCGACGAAAATATTCATCGGACGGACGGACTGACGGATGGACTGACGGATGGACTGACGGATGGACTGACGAATGGACTGACGGAAGGACAGACAGAGGTAAAACAGTATACCCCCCTTTTTTAAAGCGGGGGTATAAATATGTCAGAGCGAACAATTTCGGTAAAAACTCTTTGAAGATATTAAGTGTTACGTTTTCTGAAGAGAACAACAATAAAAGGTCAGAAGCTAAACAAGTTTTACTGTGCGTATTGCTGTGTGTTTGTTTATTCTACATTGGCTAAAGGTAAAGGGGGAGGGTTGAGATCTCACAAAACATCTTTAGCCCCGCCGCATTTTTGCACCTGTCTCAAGTCAGGAACCTTTGGCCTTTGTTAGTCTTGTATGTTTTTTTAAATTTTGGTTCATTTATATGTTTCGGAGTTTAGTGTGACGTCCATTTTTGTTGAACTAGTACACATTTTTGTTTAGGGACCAGCTGAAGCCTGCCTCCGGGTGCGGTATTTTCCCGCTGTGTTTAAGACCTATTGGTGGCCTTGTGCTGTTTTTTGTTTTCTGCTCTTTGGTCGGGTTGTTGTCTCTTTGACACATTCCCCGTTTCCATTATTAATTTTAAGATTATATCAATTTTCGAACTTAATTTTTTGCCGTCAATGAAAAAACATCGAATAAAAAAATATTGTTCCACTGGTATACTGCTCATGAAAAAATTACGGAAATGACTATTATAAGAAGTCATGGTAAAAATTGATTACAAAATTAAGATGTTATAATGAACAATTTGAACAAATATGTTAGTATCTTTTTTCGGCTTCAAAGAAAGAAAAAACAGTGCTGACGTAGATAACTCCCATGTAGTTAAAAGTTCTGAGGGTAAATGTCAAAATATATTACTGTTCTGCTCACAGGTGCTATTGCGATCGGTTAGATACTCTACATCAAATTTTGTGATGAAGGGTATGAACAATTCTTATACTAACTATATAGTTAAATAAACTATATTTGGAATTCAGATAATCTGCGTTCCTTTGGCGGTCAGTTTGATTGTCTTTGCCGCTTTTGGTTAACTGTTCCATGATTTGGTTGGATAATAATGACTCACCATTGCTATCTTAATTGGACAATAAACAAAAGACTATACTGATATGGTGTTTTACCTAAGAAACAAACAAACTTTACTTTGTTGTATTTTGTAGACATTCAAATACACAAGGTATAAAAACTATGAAATCATATTGTCTATAATTGAAACGCAAGTAGTTATATTTTAAATTGAAGGTGAAGGGCCGAACTGAATTTTAAAAATTTGGGCTTCAGAAAAAAAAATCATGATATGACCTATCGTTTCAGCATAATGATATTTATTTTTCAGTTTTGCTGTCTCTGATAAAATTAAGAAATAGAAAATGTCCTTTGTTGATCACAATCTCTTAGACTAAATTCATCTACCACAAACAAAAATAAAAGCTTGCATTTTCATTAATGGTACACATCTAGGTTTTCCTAAAGTTAAAGTAAACAGAAAATGTATTGCACGAAAGATGCATCTTCACCATTATGAATGACAAACACAAAAATGGTCATGGTAATATTAACACGTTTTCAAAAGTGAAAATGTAATCATGTTCTAAATTTTAACGGTTAAATATAACTAAATAAAATCTTTTACATTCTTAGGAGCTTAAGAAACGAGGAGTATAACTTTATGTACATATCACTTTAACAATTATTAAGCACAACCACTGATGAAGGAACTCTTACCTGTATAGATCCACAGAAAGCCACACCTTTTAGTCCACCTCCTTCAAATACTATGTTTTCGAAAGGGTAGTCGTAGTCAGTAGGATTAACTTCCATTGCTCTGATGTCGAGCTCAGAAATATTAGAGGGTCTCTTATTTGATATACTTGCTACAAAAATAAAGATACATATTTCATAAGTTGAAAGTATCATTTATATCATGCCAATACCGACGTGCTAAATTGAGCAATTTTTACTCTAGCGGACTGACAGTGTAACAGTATTGTTATCTACCCTGTTGCAATAGTGAATATTAGATTTAAGGGCATACGATACAGTTTTGATCCCACGGTGATTTTTTACGAAAATTTGCATACAAGCTATTTTTCACCTAGTCAATTCAAATATGTAATAGAAGGTATACCATCATGTGCTACTTTTGACGTGACTCTGCACTTATGTATCCCGTCATACTTTGAACCACAAAATTATTTTATTTATTAATATTACTTTTACTGTTAAGTCTGTTTTTTGTGATATCCATTTTACGTGACTCTGTACTTATGTATCCCGTCATACTTTGAACGACAAAATTATTTTATGTCTACCTGTGCGAATTTCAAACGCGCGATTTTACGCCAGTACTTAAAACCTTCCATCCTTTATGGGTGGATTTTACATAGATAAATAAAATCGTATAATAAAATAAAAAAGCAAAATGAGGATGTTAAATTTGATGTATGCCTTTTTGTTCTTCTTCGTTACATTTGTTTGTTTTTAGAGTGAATAAGATGATATCACAATGTTGACTGCTGTACCCCTGTTTTTGACATTTTTACCTATTGTGTCTGTTTGTTTTGTTCACACATCGTTGTCAATATAATGGAATTTGATGCGCCTGTCATACAAGTGAGAGGTTTAGCTAGCTATAAAACCAGGTTCAATCCACCATTTTCTACATAAGAAAATGCCTGTACCAAGTCAGGAATATGACAGTTGTTATCCATTCGTTTGATGTGTTTGAGCTTTTGATTTTGCCATTTGATTCGGGACTTTCCTTTTTGAATTTTCCTCGGAGTTCAGTATTTTTGTGATTTTACTTTTTAAAGATAAATGGGGTCGAAAATTTAGACATTTTCTCAAAATTTCGGTTTCTCGGATATTTCTTTGGAAATAATTTATTAACTTTTCATAAAAACTTGTACTAATAATCTTCATACATAATCAATCCAAAATTTCATTTTACAAAATAGGGATAAATGCACTCGTTTTCAAGCTAATGATTAAAATGAGTCGAAAAATGCATTTTTTCCCAATATGTCACAGTTTGACGTCGCGAAAATAGCATTTTACGTTAGCGACGTCATTATCGCCCCTGTAACCATATCGTATGCCCTTATGTGGACAAGACATGTGCATCTAGAATAACTATCTTCGTGTACACGCGAAAGAGAAAAAACACGTTTATGAGCATCAAAACCAATTGTTCCTGAATCAATCTAATTAAAATAAAGATCTACGATTTCGTTATGCTCATACTTCGACGAGTGCGCGAGTTCCGATAGATCTGAATTTTAATCCGATTGTTCCGAAAGATACACCCACTATTCTCACAACCTCTTTCTTTACTTAGAATTCGAAAACTAAAATGGTATCTCTCAAAAAATATACTTCAAATGCCCACAATATATTTGTCTGTCAGATAGAAGCATCTAAATTTGACTGTCAGATATCATTATATCTACATTTGACTGTCAGATGTCAGTATCTGCATTTGTCTGTTAGATATTAGTATCTACATTTGTCTGTTAAATATTAGTATTTATATTTTTTATCAGATATTAGTATTTACATTTGTCTGTTAGATATTAGTATCTACATGTGTCTGTCAGATAGAAGCATCTAACTTTGACTGTCAGATATCATTATATCTACATTTGACTGTCAGATATCAGTATCTGCATTTGTCTGTTAGATATTAGTATCTACATATGTCTGTTAGATATTAGTATCTACATATGTCTGTTAGATATTAGTATCTACATATGTCTGTTAGATATTAGTATCTACATGTGTCTATCAGATATAACTATCCACATTTGACTGTCGGGTATCAGTATTTACATTTGTCTGTTAGATATTAGTATCTACATTTGTTTATCACATATTAGTATCTACGTATGTCTGTTAGATATTAGTATCTACATGTGTCTATCAGATATAAATATTTTATATTTGACTGTCAGATATCAGTATCTACATTTGTCTGTTAGATATCAGTATCTACATTTGTTTGTCAGATATAATTATTTACATTTGTCTGTTTGATATCGTTATCTACATTTGTTTATCAGATATTAGTATCTACATATGTCTGTTAGATATTAGTATCTACATGTGTCTATCAGATATAATTATCTACATTTGACTGTCGGGTATCAGTATTTACATTTGTCTGTTAGATATCAGTATCTACATTTGTTTGTCAGATATTAGTATCTACATATGTCTGTTAGATATTAGTATCTACATGTGTCTATCAGATATAATTATCTACATTTGACTGTCGGGTATCAGTATTTACATTTGTCTGTTAGATATCGGTATCTACATTTGTTTGTCAGATATTAGTTACTACATTCGTCTGTTAGATATTAGTATCTACATGTGTCTTTCAGATATAATTATTTACATTTGTCTGTTAGATATCGATAAATACATTCGTTTGTCAGATATTAGTTATTACATTCGTCTGTTAGATATCAGTATCTACATTTGTTTGTCAGATGTTAGTTTCTACATTTGTCTGGTAGATATTAGTATCTACATATGTCTATCGGATATCATTATCTACATTTCACTGTCATATATCAGTATCTACATTTGTGAATTATGTCTCCGATATTGCCTTTGGATCTTCAAGATCCTTACAACAAGAAACAAACTGAAAAATGCCAATTAGCACTAATTTAAAACTTGTCACTAATTTTCAAGTTTAGAAAAAAGTGAAGATAAATGTTGTTACAAGATGTCCTATTTTAAGATGATGATCGATGTGAGTAAAATATGTTCTGGGGCAAGTTGTTGTCTACAATCTAATTTTGCAAAGCACTGTGTAGACGGGCAATTTTAGGTTTAATATGAAGATGAAACCCTATGGAAATTGACATTGTTATCTTCTTCTCTGTAATCACTTGGTATTTTCAAACTAATTTAGCGGTAACAACATATGGAAGGTCTTTTATAAAAACATTTCATTTTACTCCGACATGGACACCAGATATATTTTTGATTCTGATCGGCATACTTTCAAAAATCTCCTCAGAAACAAAATGACGAAATGTTGGAAACTTGAGAAAATTTATGCAAACGTATTGATAGAGTGGCAAACAGCGGTATTGGTGGCACACGATTCCTGAACATAGTTGTTAGGGTATATCAACAAATAACACACTATATATAGATACAAAGGGCAAAAAAATCTCACAAATACTGTCATAATTGGCCCGACATTATAAATGTCAAATCCAGATATAATTCAAAAATTTAGACAACCAGGGTGCACATCAAGTTATTTTTGGATAACTTAAGGAAAACAATGTAAATTAGACAAATAATATTTGATTTTTAATAAAGTGGAAAAAATGTATGTCCATAGAAAAAAAACAAAATCATTGAAACATTGTATGTGACAAACTGTATATAGTGTAGATTTGTACATTGTGTACTATTGTTTATTTTAGTTTTGTAATAGGTTGAGGGCTCCAAGGAAGATTAGCTATATTGATACTTAATGTGCTACCCTTTTACAATAAAATATTCATTTACTTACGTACTTATCAAGTAACAACGGGACATTTAACTTTCATTATTGCGTCAATAGTTTTTCCCTTCAAAATAAAGAAACCCAAGGATTTACGTGGGTTAAAAAATAGGGTCACCTAGACTTTTCCATTATCGGAAATAAAATCCATGCTAAGAGGGACGTCCAATTGGCTGAGCGGGAAGTAGAAATAAACAGCCCCATCCGATCAGAAAGGGTTAATTAAATATGATGTCTCGTGCAAAGAGAGTGCCACGCTTCATGCAGGTCAACAAAGAGCTTTAATGGATCCATAAGTAGCTTATTTTAAAGCCAATTTTCTGCCTCTATCCAGCACACCCTTATCTTTTAATGGCAGGTTCATCCCGGTCAACCAACCATACCTATTTATTAGATTCATTGTTCATTTAATGATCTCCTGCATAAATATGAAATAACAACAATCAATCAAGCAATAATAAAAGTTAAATGAAAGTTCAAAGTCCCGTTTTTACTCCCCTTGAAATACACAAGCACCTTACTTATTCCCCTTAGGGTGACGGGCTTGTTGTAACTGTCTGTCCCTGTCCTAAATATTTCTATATGGAAGTCAAAATAACAGGCTTTTATTCAGGTTAGCCCACTATGCAGATCACATGTGTGCATTTTTTCTTGTCCTAAACATGCGTGAAATATATGAAAACAACAAACATTCAATAAAATACAAAATCAAAAATTAAGGCAACGCTCATATCAACTTTACTAAAATCAACAGAATGCAATACGCAATGTGCAAATCACTATTGAGGAAGTAAAATGCACTTCGAAATATTAGATATATAGATTCCACCACAGCAAAAAGAATGTTACGATATTTCTCCACTCGAGATAGTTAAATTTTAATACTTAAAGGGCGAGACTTGCCGAGCTTTTTAAATAATTAAAATTTAACTGTTGAGAGTGGAGAAATATCGTAATACACGAGTTATAGTGGTGGAATCTGTTTCTCTAATGATTTTTATCCTTCCTTCTGAAAGATTTTGTTCTTTATATGTGACGTTATCAGGCATGGTCGCCTTTTTCCATGACTTCACAATAGGAAATTCAGAAGAAACCAAGAAAATTTGACGTCATAATTAAATTTCGACCAATCATTTCCGAGAACAGATATTTCACTAGTGAGGAGAACAATTTTTTCACAATCAGTTGGGAAATGTGAAAATAGTGAACAAATAAGAGAAATTAGATGTCAAAGTAGAAGGATCATATTATCATGATTGCCATGTTTCGAACTCACCGTTTACAAATGTAAACGAATTAAGGTTAACCAACATCTTTATGTTCTTTTATCA